ATGATTCTCTCTCATTACTGATGTTTCTATTTCTCTCTCTCTCTCTCTCTCTCTCTCTCTCTCTCTCTCTCTCTTCTTTCCTCTCTAAAATCAATAAAAATGTATTAAAAGAAACTAGCCTACAAAAAAAAAGTGGACAATGGGAAAATCCTTCAGTGCAGTAAAAACATTAAGTATGGTATATAAGACAAGTTAATATGTTAATCTTATTTGCTCTTCACTTTGTTGTTTCTGTTTATCCATATGCATGTTTATAGTATCCATTGCTCAAAAACCTTTAAGAATTTGCAACCGTTAATAAAATGAACAGAATTAAATCTAGTTGATTGGGATTGGATTCAAGGCTTTTCCCAATGTAGGATCAACCTTTCATTCTAGACTTATCATCTGCTGCCATCTTTCCATAAATGTTTCTCCCCTGATGAGCTAGAAAAGTAAACATCTCTATAAAGGCTTTCCAAAATTTCCACCTCAAATTTACTTATTCCTTGTCTGTGTTGATTTGAAACTAAATATGTTTTCCTGAATTTACCCTCTCCTGCCTTATATAGTCATATAGCTATACGAATTAGCTAGCTGGCATGATGGTAAATTTAAAAACAAAGTATACATCATTTTTGTTGTCCCCTCCAGATCATTATTCTGTAGAAATTGTAAAAACAAATGATAGCAAAATAGATTTAATTTTGCAATATAAGCAATATTTAGTCAAACCAAAAATCTTAATGCACCCATTGAATTAGTAGTCATTCTTAGTGATGACCAAAATAATGAAACTATTTTTAAGCTAAAAACCATAATTTTTCTATTTAAATAATATGATTTTGGGAATGGTTTTTGTTAAAACTTATTTCAATAAAAATAAATATTATGGAGAAAAATTATTTGAAATATACTTTAGCCCAATTTATTCCATCAAAGCCAATGACTCTAATTATACAGATATTTAGTTCATGGCTACCTAGGGCCCAGGGTCATCTAATTGTAGTTAAGTGGATGAATAATATATTGAATTACAAATTGTTCAATTCAATTAGGCCATTATGAAAACTGAAATATGAGTATGGGCCAGTTATTTTATTCAACCTCGTGTCCAAAGCAGATTTATATTTCAGCAATCCAATGTACTACTTGGCACTCAGGAGTAATGAGAGCTGAGTGAAGTGGACTTGACAGTCTCAATGGCCACTTCAGCCCCTCATACACTCATACAATCTCCACCGCATACAATAAGATATTTTAAAGCATCTCAGCTCTTAGTGTATTGTTATCAATATTTCAAAAAAGTTCTTTGTGCTTTAATACTAACTTAATGTGCTAAAAATGTACAATTCCTCAGAAGCAAAAGTCTAACTTCTATCTTAAAACATTAATCAAAAAATTGAGTTCGTTAAAAATTTTCCTACCATTGAATGAAACAAATATTCATTGAATCTGGAAAATATTAAGTTATGAAAAAATCTCCTTTAAAACTTTGCAATTTATTTTGTACACAATGCACCACTACCCCAATCCCAATCTCAGTGGAAATTTCACTACACAGCTTCCATTGAACCTGAACTGCATCCCCTCCTTCATAGATCACATCTAATATGTTTCCAAGACCTGCCCTAAAATCTCACCACCCATATTCATTCCTGAATCCCTTGTGATATCACTTTAGTAGCAGCTTTTGGTCAAGTCTTTGAAGGATTACTGCCACACATTCTACCGTATCTTCCTTTATTCCATTTATTTTCTTTACTTGTGTTACTTGTAACTCATTCTCCTTCAACCCTTCCTATGCCCTATGATCATGTTAAACAGAATGTGTGCAGTTAAGTTACTCTGAAAAGTCTTTATTTCTCGTTCCTCTATGGTTTTCTTGTAAATGCTCTTTTATTCCTGATGTATATAAATCTCTTGGCCTAGCTACCACTTGTTCTCCAAGATTGACACATTGGTGTTTTTTTCTTATGTATCATAATGGCATTGTGTGCTTTAGTCTTTCATAGCACAGTCCATGCTGCTTTGTCTATGTCCCCCACTAGACAATAGCTGTCTGAGGGCAGTCTTCCAACTTTGTCTTCCTAGAAACCAGCATCATGCCAAGTATATAAGATCCACTTAAAAGTTTTTGAATAAAGTATTTATTTATTCATTCAGTGAATAAACCAAAATTGCTGTTGAAAGACAGCATTTCAAAACAGCTATTTGATTTTTAAAATCTTAATTCAATAGATCTTAATTACTGTGTAATATGAGACACCTGCTATATAAAAGTGGCAACTTGAAATGTATTTCACATAACTTTGAATAAGTACAATAACATCTATATTATTTAGAAGTAGATAACTGTCTATAAACACATACATACAATTTGAATACTCTCTATATGAACTGTGGTAAAAACAAGTGTTGTATATGCGACTTCTGATTAGCATTTATATGTCAAACTAAAGCAATATAGTCAACTTCCTCACTCGACATGGTACTTAAGTGACCATGGAAGAATACATATTTTAAAGAGTGGTAACCATTCAGGTTCCACTTTAATGCTCCTAAATCATGTTAATAATATGACAGGTTTCTGTTTTAACGGACTTTATCATAACGGATTAAGTAAGTGTTGGAATAAAGAATGGGCAATATATGTATGTAATTTATCACTCCCTCAAATTGATACTTCCTTAAATTGGAAATTGGAGGTTGATTCAGAAAAAAATAATCATGATCTTAAAAATGAGAGAACCGTAAGTGGCAAGTAAGAGGAGCTGGACTTAACCATTCAGTCACTCATTCTCTTACTCATTTTTGTACTTGAGGATTTGTATATTTGACCTCTAAATCAACTTGCAAACTTAAGAATAAATGGACAAACACGCATCCCTTCAGCAGCCCCTTTATGTGATCAATAGAAATGAGACAACCTTATTCAAGTATGACAGTAACATGTGTGTGTGGGTGTGAATGTGGTGTGTATTTATTACCTTTGCTCATAACTCCTTTTTGAAGTTAATATTATTCAAATAGAACTTGGAGAAAAGTTCTCATTAAATGTAATGAATTCAAAAATTTTCAGTTTCCATTCAGGTAAGAAAAAACCAGACACCTCCAAAGTATACCAACATATTCTTGATTTAGCCAAATTAACAACATGAAATTTGGCTTTAAATAAACCTCCATGGATTACAATGCAAACCTGCGTGGATTTACAAAGTGAACAAATAAAGGTAAATGGTGATTTGATGATAATATCTCCGTGACTTTCAAAACTTTCCATTTCAGATTTAATATTTAATTAGTCCAACTATATGCCTTCAAACCACAGGGAAATAACCTCTCAGTCATATTAAGATAGTCAAACATATTCTTGCCAATTTTCTATGTAGTGTACCTAAGCCTCCCATGTGATAGACTTAACAGATGCATTATTCAGGATAGGTGAGTATAAATATTTAAAATTTGTACGTATATAATGGATACCTAAACAAATGCATGTATGTTTTTGGAATAAATGCTAAATTTGCATCTTTCACTCCCTAGCAGATGGAAGGTAACAGTGTTGCTGATGGTCACTGATACATTTAAGTCAGTATTTCTGTGAATAATGGGGAAAAGATTACACAAAAGAATTAGAAGAGGTTTTAGATATGCCCTTATTAAAGAACCTGCGACTTTCATCAAATTGCCAGTTCACTTTTTAATATAAATCTTTATTGTTGAAAGTATTACATGTCCCTTTTTATTCCCCCATTGCCCTTTGCCCCCTCCCTGCAAGCCTTCACCACCCTATTGTCTGTATCTATGGGCTATGGCATATACACATATGAGTTCATTGGTTGATCTCTTCCTCCCACCACTCTCCCCTGCCTCCCTGTTTGCTTTTGGGATGACAGGAGTGTGACCTTCCACACAGCTGAAGGATTTGTGATAACTACACACAGAGAGCAGAGACAAGGGCCAACATCAATACTTTGATAGAAGTCTGTCATGGTTTCTCAAGTATGTGCCTTTCTGGTGAGTCTCACAAGTCTAACTAAACCTTACAAGTGAGACTAAATGAGAAAGTAGATATTACATAGGTATTTAATAGTAGTAGTAATCGGAAGAGACAAGATCCTGGAGAATAGCCAATCCAATCTCTGATTATTTTGGAGAGGAGAATGAGCCTAGAGTTTTAGAGAGTTGCCAGAGAAGAGAAAAAGAGATAAGAGGAGAGGAACAATTTTTCTCATCATAATATCAATCACTCTTCAGTGTAATTATGTGTATGTCCATGCCACCCAGAACTCTAATAAGCCAGGTTCCATGTCAGTCTTAGTCATTATATATCCCTAGTACTTAGCACAATGCTTCTCAAAAACAAGTGGATGAATGGATGAGTAAATACATGTTTAATGTTAACTTGGGGAAGATTCTTAACCTCATTAAGCATCACCTTCATGTTTAAAAAATGTTACTAGAGAAAAACTTTAAAAATACATAAAAATGCTTAGCAATGGGCTTTGCTCAAAGAAACACTCATATATTTATGGAATGACTGAATGAATGAATGTAGCCAAATATAAGGAAAATATCTGTTTCTCTGGAAACTTCAGCTACAAGACATAGACAAATAGGAAAAGCTTTTGGCATACCTTCATCTAATGGCTCAAAGAAGAAGCGAAAGAGAAAATATAAAACAAAACCCCAATACACAATAAAGAACTTAAAACAAATATAAACTATTTGTTAAAGGAAAAATGGTTGTTTATGCTACTCTAGAGAATAATCCTAGAAAGAATAAAGAACACCATCAGCCCAGTCGGCAGGGCTCAGTGGTTGAGTGTAGACCTATGAACCAGGAGGTCATGGTCTGATTCCCAATCAGACCACATGCCCGTGTTGTGGGCTCCATCCCACGTGTCGGGTGTGCAGGATTCTCTCATCATTGATGTTTCCATCTCCACTCCCTCTCCCTTCCTCTCTGAATTCAATAAGAATATATTTTAAAAAAGAGAGAGAGAGTACTGCAGTACCTGATAAGATCCTGACTTCGGCTTCATTTCCTGTCCTCGAGCTGGCTGGATTGCGGGCTGTGCACCGGTAGATTCCCGTGTCCCCAGGCTGAAGTCTGCTGATCTGCAGGGCGCCAGAGGGCAAGACCACCACCCGGGAGTCGCCCCGGACCGGAGCCAGGTCCTGCTGGTTTTTCTGCCAGTGGATCGTGGGCATGGGCTCCCCAATGACTTCACACTTGAGTAACACCGTGTCTCCCATGAAGGCCGTGACAGACTCCGTCTGGGAGAGAAACCTCAGAGGTCCTGTGGGAAAAACCAAGAAGGATACAGCTTTCAGAGGAGATGCGACAGTCACCAATAGAAATAATCGCATTTGTATTGTGTATAGAAAACTGTATTTCACAAAGTATTTTCTCATATTTCATCTCATTTGCTTTCTCATTTTACCACAGTATGTGCCTGGCACTACAATAGTTTCTGGGGCTAAAATCCGATAGTGAGGTGGCCATTAATCTCTAGAAGTTTACTGTTCTGTTGTGATTGGTTAATAAAACAGCCTTGTGAAATAAACAGAGCGGACAAGATCATCCTCATTGTATACATTAGGAAATGGAGGCGCAGAAAAGTGAAATTCCACAAATAAATTCCCAGTGATTACGTGGTAATACTGCAAATGAGACTTGCTTCTTTTTGATCCGGATCCTGTGCTCATTCCATCATCCCAGTTTGAACAAAGAACTATTAAATATGGGATTATGATGAACTGGCCACATGGCATAAAAAAAAAAAAGACCGAACCCTTTTATGTAATGATGTTTACTTTGAATTTATATTAGTTCACACAAACACTCCATCCATGCTTTTGTTCCGGCCCTCCAGTCCAGTTTAAGAACCCATTGTGGCCCTCGAGTCAAAAAGTTTGCCCACCCCTGGATTAGAGTAACAGAGAACAAACCGTGATGGGCTAACGGCTTAAGGCAAATACGCATCCGTATTTGTCAGTTAGGGTTGTGGTGTAGAGAAAAAATGCTAAAGCTGGGGGGGTCAATGGGGGGAAAGGGGGAACATATGTAATAATTTCGACAATAAAGAATTTAAAAAAAGAAAATGTAGGGGAAAGTGAAAAAAAAATAAAAAAATAAACCAATCAACTGGCAGTCCCTGAGCACAAGCATTGCTAGAGAAGCCTCCTTCGTCATCATGATGTTATAATGTGAAAGGGTAAATGATGCTATAATCCTGCCCTCTGAAACCCCTTATTTTGAACAGATGGATAATTGTGACCCTAAAGCTTTGACCATAAGAACTATTTTTATAATTGCAAATAAACATTATTATATGGACTGTGCCATTACTGATAGATGAACTTTATTTTTAGAGTAACCTCAATTAAGTAATCCTAATTCATTGACTCATGTGCTAATCTTCACAATTATATTACAATATTTCTATTTTCATTTTAATCTTACTCAAAATTTTTTCATTGTATGTGCATTTCAGATAAAGTTTTATTCATATATCAATTTGGGGTTCACATTCAGTTTTGCTGATCATATTTTATGTAATTTTTATTTTATAGATTTATTTTAACTCAAAATTTGCTAGGTTCAGTTTTAAATTTTATTTAGTCAATATTTAGTATATAATAAATTCCATTATATTCAATTTTAAATACTGTTGGTTTTATTTTGGATTTATTGATTTTCACAAACCTAACTTTCCGTATAATATGATGAATATTTTGCTGGAGTGAAAAGGGCAAAGGCAAAATGGTCTAGAGCAGTGATGGCGAACCTTTTGAGCTCGGCGTGTCAGCATTTTGAAAAACCCTAACTTAACTCTGGTGCCGTGTCACATATAGAAATTTTTTGATATTTGCAACCATAGTAAAACAAAGACTTATATTTTTGATATTTATTTTATATATTTACATGCCATTTAACAAAGAAAAATCAACCAAAAAAATGAGTTCGCGTGTCACCTCTGACACACGTGTCATAGGTTCGCCATCATGGTCTAGGTCAAGACATCATAATTTCATGTGGTCTCCATCCCTAACATTTAATTTTGTAACTAAGGAAATGTAGTTGGGAATAATGTACTTACATATACAAGTTACATATTTTACACAACATCGGTAAGTTATGAAAATATCTGAATACTTTTGCATATTCAGATGTATGGTCCTATATAAGTTATGCATGTTAGATAAAACTCTAAATATCTATTTTACATCTGAATGCTGGTGGCATTCAAAATGTTCATTTGCAAATTTCTAGAAATAGAATAAAACATAAAATGAAAGGGTAATTCAAAATGATACTCAACAATTGGTTCCTTTCTGTAAACTTCTTCTAGCTAAAAGAATCATACACGACACAAAATTGTGTATTAATATAATTAAACTTAATTATATTAATTATAAACTTAATTATAAACTTAATCAGATACTATTCTACATGCTTATTCAATATGCATTCTATGCTGATTTCAGACCTTAATAAACAGGGGTCAGAAATGCCTATTTAAAATTTATCAATGTAATGTTTGAAAACTTCAAATAATTGATTATTTAACAGAGTGAGAAATTATAAGTATGATTCTCTAGCTTTTTCTTTTTGTCTGTACGAAGGAAACCCTGCACATCAAAAAGCAATTCTAAGTTTATGAGGCTCTATATGGCTAGAATTAATGCTCCCAATATTGTGCTGAATTGTAGCATTCACATCTCCCAATGTTGTACAAACCAGCAATAGTATTAAAAGGAGAAGAAGTTATAGGCTATCAAGTTAGTACTATATTTTCACGGCATGAGTATGAGCACCCGGTAATGAACACTAAACTCACTGTAACTCATAAGAATGAAATGCAGTGTCGTCAGAAGAGTCATTTAATGCTCTAATGCAATGCGAACAATTCCTGTGCTTTATCCATAGGTAGATAAAGGTATAATTTTAACTAGATCCTCATGAAAAATAGTTACCTGCTCAACAAGAGCCTGCCTGTGTATGAGAACAGCCGGGTTCAGGCTCATTAGATCTCATCTGAACCCCTGTGATCATAGCACAATGGTCTTCCTATCCCTACTCTTTCCTTACCCAAATCCATTCAAAAAACGTCAAAAAATCAGTGTTCCTACATCACCCAAGTTTTTGTTTCACTCAGGAAATTCTGATGCTCCAAAACATTTTTAGTATTGTCTTACACCCCTAATTCTGGTACCCAAGAATCTAGCACAATGTACCGTCTTGGCTCATCTCTCTAACTCTTGCAAAATAATTCTCCAATCTAGTGGACCATCCTATGCCCTAAACATGACTTCCCCTTGACTTAATTCTCATGATATTTCCTCCAAAGAGGTATACCTTCTCTCCTAATATATCTATCTATCAAAACTGTAGTCATTCTTAAGATACTGAGTCAAAAAATGTCCATTTCCCTAGGCTTGCTACTAGAGATCATCTCTCAACCCTTTGAATGTCTATGTCACTCACAGATAGCATGACACAGTTGAGTGTATAAATAAAAGTCCGATAACTATTTATATGTTTATATATGTGCGTTTTTTGGTATTTTATGTACACAGAGTATATCAAATATCTACTAAAAGAAATACTTCAATATTTATTGAGGTTCGATGTGACTCTAAATATTTAAATCTACATTGCAGACATGCAAATGTTGATAATGATGTTTGAATACGTCTCCTCGCTCTCCAGCAGATTTTGTGGCATTTGGGGATGCACATTCCTAGGTGCCAGATTACTTGGGGTCACTACCCGCTTTACCATTTAACCAGCTGGGTGGGTGTGCACAAGGCCTCAGTGTTATATTTTCCTCTAGTCTAAACTCCTTTATCAAGAGCCTCATTTACTCCTCACAACAGCTCTTTCAGTATTACTGTCTTCACATTACAGATGGGACTCAAATGGGAGCAAAACTGATTCAAAGGTTTACATTATGCATGAATGTTTCAGGAAGTAAGCTTCGGGACTGAACTATTACACTTCCTGAAACACCTTATTTCCCCAACCTAAGAGAAAATATCTCAAGAGGAATTTCTTTTATATATCAGTACCTCCCCACTCCTGCTCCAAGTATATCAGCACAGCACTGGGTAAAAACGGTTATTTAATAAGAACTTTATCTCTAGATTGTCTTATAGGCAAGCTTCAGCCTGTAGTACTGTACTATTAAAAATAGCACACAAACATGTTTTTAGTGCTTTCATGGAGGTCTTTATATTATTGATTTCAGAGAGGAAGGGAGAGGAAGAGAGAAATAGAAACACCAATGATGAGAGAATCATTGAGGGGTTGCCTGCTGTACAACCCCCACTGGGGTTCGAGCCCGTAACCTGGGGATGTGCCCTGACCATGAATCAAACCATGATCTCCTGGTTCATAGGTGAATGCTCAACCACTTAGCAACACCAGCCAGGCATGGAAGTCTTTCATTGTTGACCTTGTCAAAGGCTGTTTTTAAGAATGACTTGTAGTCAAGGTCTCTGCCCTCACACTAGCCTGGCCCAGGATGCTATCCCTGCTTTAGATTTGGAAATACCTGGACTCGCTGGAAGCATCCCGTGTCAACCAGCTTACAGTTTACACATTATATGCACATCCAGGGATTAATGAGGATCAGGATCAGTTCAGGAGCCATTCACATAAAAGAACATGCGGTTTTACATATGGGAAAGTCAGACACACATTGCAGCTCCGTTTATCCCCTGTCCTAGAAATGATAAACACAGATACTTGTAATTCAAATTTTATAAGTGACTAACAGTCAGTCAAAGTCTAAGCTTCAGCCTCAGATTTTATTGATGCCAACTCTCCTGATTATAGTTGTATAAGAAGCATTAGGCGCTGTGAGAAGGCGATGTATAGCCATGATGAGCGTACCACAGAGAAATGAGTCTCACCCTGTTTATTTTGATTTCTGTAAGAGATCCTTCAGTTATTCTACAATACTGATCTGAACTCTAAACGGATTCATATATTAGTGTCTATTTATATATGTTATTTTTGTTAAATGTTACTCAAGGCTTGTTAAACAGCTATAAGCACAATTCTTTTTCTAGAACATTTACTAACTACTCATGCAAGGAGAGAATATTTTATTTTCAGCTCTTCAATAACAAAGTGCTTGAATACCTGGGGTTTAATAGTGCCAACACAGTATTGGAACCCTCCCTTCCTCAGAGACATGTCCTCAGACACAGACAGAACCAATTGTTCCTGTATATCTCCTTTGTTGCACTTATTTCAATTGTAATCAATTAACTAGAAAATTAATTTGCT